TAATTTATTTGCCTACGATTAATTACAAGAATGTATTATAAAAGACCCCTGAAAAAGTACTGTAAAATGTATAAAAAAATTTTTAATAAATTGTGTAATAATTTTCCTTATATGGGACTGTCATACCTGTTACATAATACTAGTAAAAAAAAGTTTTCATATAATTTTGATCAGTACCTATATATCCTAATAAATAAAAATTAAAAAATAAATAATTAGTTAAACTTAATAAACATGAACTGTATTTTTATAAAGTTTTTATCATTTAATAACATATTAGCATAACATATATTTTGACACTAAATATTAAATAACTGATTGTATAATTGTAAATTAGAATTATTACTTGATTAAGACGAACTAAACAAATATACAAAATAAATTAATTGAATTTAAATTAAATAAATATAATATACTATACAATATTTTTGATTATTTATATTACATTTATATTCTTTTGAATATATACTAGTATAAAAATAAAAAAAATAATAGATAGAATAAGTTAATAATAATTGATAAAACTACATGATTTAATTTTTATAATTTATACCTTATTTTATATTAAATGATTTAATAAATAATTTCATAAAAGATTTAAAAAATACTTTACTTATATAAATTGATTTAGATATTTTTTAGAAAATTTAAAATCAAGTTACTTTAATTTAATTAATATTAATCATTTATCTTCAGCTTGATTAAATTACTTATTATTTTTTTACAATACTAACTGCCAATAGTTCTACAGATTTTTTATTAAAGATCTTTTGAAAGAATCAGAATTCTAACATCTTTTTATCAAATAAGCATAATATACAGAAGTGTCTTCTGTAATTTCAGATCATTTTTTAGTAAAAATTTTAATAATAAGATCATTATCATTATGATTAGCATTAGCAAAAGACTTATAACCTATTATAAATTCTTATATAACTATACTAATACCAAAAATATCAGTTTTTTGAAAATGAAACACCATTAAATATTTCTGATGCAATATAAGAAATACTCCATATATTTTATTATTTATTAAAGTTTTATTTGCAGATTGTGATAATCTAAAGTCTCTAATTTATCATTAATATATTATTAAATTAGATTTAATAAATAATAAGTTTTTACTATGCATATCTTGATGTATGAGATTTTTATTATTAATAATTTCAAGTCTAACTTTAAAAATTAATTACTAAAATAAATTACAAATAATATAAACAAAATAAAATGTAAATATCTATCTAAAATTTACCATAAAATAGATAATTTTCCTTTTGAACTATCTTTATTTCATGTTAATTGGGTAATATCAAAATATCTAATAATATGATTAACTTTTAATCAGAAAAATAAAAATGATTTGATTTTTTAATATATCATTTAAATTAGATTATTTAGATTATTAAATAAAATTACTTTTAAATATAGTATATTGAATTATTATCTCATTTAAAAAAGATTGGCAAATATTTTTTGAATTTAAAAATCTTTTTAGAGTAACAATTTTAATTTTACTTTTTTCTTCTAAATGGTTATTATAAAATATAGATATATAATCTAAATAATATACTTTATAAATAATGCTAAATCCCTCTTATGCTATTTCTTCTAACTTTTTAAGTTTAGAAAATAAGATTCATCTAATTGCTGAAAATAATAAAATTTTTTTCTATTAAAACTTTACATAAATGATTTAGTTTAAATTTTTTCATATTAATTATCATATTATCTATAACCTGAATATTATTAAATTATGTATTGAGAATAAACTCATTATAGTATAGTTTTTACTGCTTATAAGTGATGTATCAATATTAATAATTATTGTTCTTTTGCATTTTTTACATTAAAAACAATTGGTAATTTCAAATATAATGATTATTGTTAAATAATATTTACATCTATTATAAGTTATTTGATAATATTTATATCATTTGAGACAATCAAATATATATTTTACAGAATTTCTACAAGTTCTGCAATCCTTAAAATATTTTCATTATAGTAAATAAAGAATTAAAACAGTATTTTAGTTAAAGTATATTTTATCTATCCAAAGAAATTTTATAACAATCTAAATATATTTTAAAGTTATAATAATATGATTTATTATTACAAACAAACTTTACACATAATTTACAATCCTTATTATTTTTAAATATTTTTGAAGCCTTAACTTTTGTATTAATTATTAAAGTGAATGATATTCTTTAAAGTATATTTGATTAAAATGTAAAATATCAAAGCAAGTTTTACACTATTCTTAAATGTCTTACGTATAATATTTTATATTTTAGCTTCATATTTATTACAATAAGAATAATTATCATTATTAATTATAAGTAGATTCAAATACATATAATTATCATTCATATAACTAATATACTTGAATAAGCAATTTTTACAATATATTTATTTAAAATATGTTTTAGTATATATATTTTCATAATAAATTTATCATAAAATATGTCTTTAATAATAAAAGAATAAACATAATTCATATAAGACTGAATTTTAATTTTGGAGTTAGATTAAAATCATCATTATTAGTAAGAATAAATTTCATATTTCTTTAAGTTAATAAAAAGATGATTACAATATTTATTGGTCTAGAGTGAAGTGAAGGACTATATATATTTTAGTATTGCAATTATATTGTTTGTATGCTAAATAATTAAGTTAATGCTGATTGGCTTTTACAATATTTTTTTTAGTTCTCTATATATGATACATTTTCAATAAGAAAACTTATATATAGCATAGAAATCTATATTGAATGTTCAATTTAAATTTTTAGAATTCTATTTAAATTTTAATTTATAATAATTAAGTTCTATATTTATAACTATATATTTTATTAGTCTAGAATAAAACGAAGGACTAAATATATTTTAGTGCTATAGTTATACATATATCTTTTTATCTGCTTACTCAAAATTTAGTTAATACGTAAGTTAACCTTTTCATTACACTTATACTTTAGACTTAATGATAATTTCTAAAACTGTTTCCTAGTTTTATTTAATATTATATAAATTGAATATTTTGAAGGTGCTGAAAAAGATCAATTATTAATTTAAATATTTGCATAGCCATGAATATAGAATATCATATGCTAGACATGTCACATACAGATCATTTTCATATTAAAAAATATTTGTATAACTATAATCGAGTTACTTTACTTTATAATTAACTATCGCAAAATGTTACACTTATCACTTATATTAATTAAGAAATTGATAGATCATCATATGCTCAATCCATTCTAACCATTGATTTTCCTTTTAGAAGATTACTTTTTTTTACATTTACATGAAATTCACTTTAAAAATAAGTTTTTCAAGATTTACTTTCAAATAGATACAAATATACAACTTAATAATAAAAATATATGTAATATTATGGAAGGAAAAATATTCTCTTAGGTTATAGAGTATGTTATTCAGTTGGATTTTATGTAAAATACAAAAAATCATTTTTTAAAAAAAAAAATGAATTTTATATTATAAAAATTTTATAGTGAGAAGATTTAATAAATACTTTGAATTTAAATACAATTTGGCTGAAATAATAACTTTTATTAAAGGTAAGTAATTTATGTTCTTCTTTGAATGACACTATTGAGCTAAATAAATATATTAATAAAACACTAAAAAAAATATGTAAAATAAGAAAGTTTATTAAATTATAAGAAAATAATTTATTCTACTAATTTAAAATTATATATTATAGAAGATTATTAAAAAAAATTTAATATTCTATATTAATATTCTATTCTAATAAAATATAAAATATCTGTAAAAAAAAAATTTTTCATTTAGGTATTATTTTTTTAATTAATAAAAAAAAGTTTTTAAAATCAAAAAATTATCATTAAAATTAAATACCACTTGTTAATACAACATATTTTTCATTTTAGACAACTTGTTTGAAGAGATCTTCTTAAAATTACTAAACTGTTTAACTTTTAAACCTTACAAAATGTTTTGAGAAGTAACCGAACATTTTTGTGAGACAAAAATTCAAAAATGTTAGCAATGTCACACAGTTGGCTTATATACGCAAAGTCAAAAAAATGCGAAAAATCATATAAAATTTTGTCGATCAAATGATCGACATCTATATAAATGTCATTTGCTATGATCGACATGTGACATGTCCGACGTATGTTATACGGAAATTATACCTTGTACCGGATTCCACTTATTCAATCATAAATTTCTTGAATAAAGAAATTTATGAAATTGATATTAGTGTGAAAAATTTACAAACCAATAATTCGTCACTTAGCATCAATAAAAAATGTATTCTCGAAAATAACTTCTTCCTTTACACCTTTCAAAAGTTCAAATTCATGACTATGAAGCAAAATTATGACGTTGACGACAAGAATGAAAATAATCATAATATTGTAAATATATTTTTTCCTATTTTATTTTTATATTTACAACATCGTTAGTTAACATTCTCTTTTAATTGGACCTTCATAAAAAAAAACTATAATATTAAGGCGACGATGCAGTCTTCATAGGAACAATATCTATCATTTCCAATACATTTCGCAAAAGAATTGTTATTCAAATAACAATCATTTTAAAGATCATTGCTACATCATAGGTAGGAATTTGGTTCAAAGACGAGGCCTGAATTCTGATAGTTGCTTAAATATCATAATGACTGCGCCTACTTTCCAATGACGGAAAATAAAATAGCGAACTCAAATGAATTTATTTGTTATCGTTATTGACAATTATAAATCTTTAATTCTATTTTTAAACAAAAAAAAAAATAATAAATAGATGTCCGTATTTATTATATAATACCAAATTTATTTTATTATATATAAATATAATAAACCTCAATTAGTTTTGGCTAGTTTGTGCAAATTTCGAAAAAAGTTTAAATGACAGAATTTAGATTCAGTTAACAAGGAGGAATTTAAATTTTTTTTTCTTAATAATTTTAAAATGATTTAATTTTTTCAGTTATTTCAAAAGCTAAACGTTATCAACATAATCAGGTTCATTCACGTCCGGCAAAACTCCAACGTTCTCAAACTTTAGGCATTCCAAATATTTCCCATCCAATTCCCTAACTTCACAGTTAGGGTTAATTGCGACTGCGTTAAGGGTTTTCCCGTTTTCATATGTAGCGTCATTTTCTGACCCGTTAGGAATATTTACATCGACAGTTGCATTAAGCTTAATGAAATCATAAGCTCTATTAAGCGAAAACTGGGTAATCTTTTCAACTGGAACAAACTATTCATAAAATTATAAAAAATATAATCTAATCAGAAAAATTATACAAATATAACCGATCGAGATAATGAAAAACTTACGAAAAAACAGTGGAAAGCTTCATCATAGACTTCGAGTGTGACTTTTGTGGGTTTTTTGAATGGAGAATTAGCAAAATTCTCCGTAGCGTACTTGGGCACTTGGTACTTGCTTGGATCGGAAGCTTTAAAAGCAAATAAAACAATTGAATCCCGAAGCCTTTCTTCGCCACCTGCTTGCTATATTATAATAATATTACTTGTTTTAGGCGTAATACATTATTTTTGAAATTTTGTGAACTAATATGGATGAGATTGGTGAGAAGAAAATGATTCTATAACCTACACAGAAAATAGGCGGTAAATTCCCTAAACTTTCAGCCAACATTGGACTGATATAAGGAATGGCCAAGGCCTCATTTGCGCAGAGAAGCCTAATCCTTGGGATTTTGGTAAAAGATGGG